GACCGATCATCCATCATGTGTTCTACTACAGCATGCCAAGGTGTGAACCCCTGACTCTCTCTCTCTTTAAACACACATATATACACAGTGAGGTCCTGAATCAGAGCCACTTTATGTCTGCCAGCTCCTCCCTTCCTCTGCCTGCCCAAAAAAAAAAAAACTCCTCACTGAGCCCAGAACCAGACAAAATGGCGTTTTGAGCCCCCACACCACCTTAGAAAAAAGGAGAAATGCTGCATCCTAGTGGAAGCTGAGAGACAATAACTCAGAAGTATAGCTATAAAAGTTTACCATACAACTCATCGCTCACTTGCAGGACAGATTTCATCATCATCGTAACAGTTTTATATAAATCAGAAACATTTATTGCAGAAATGTACACAAATTGTAAAGAAGAAACCCCACAAGTCCTCACAAACATACACAATAGGCTGACAGTCAACATATTGTTCAGAATAAGGATATTGCAACATGATTACGATGCAAATCTTGCCTCTAACTTTGAGTTTTTTTCTTCATTAATAGACTCCCTTTAGGTTTGAGTAAAAGAGACTTCTTGTGCTCCTCCACTCTTTTGTCCGCTTCCTGTTTTTCCCTCCACAGCTCCATTCCTCTGTCCACCTCCGTGCTCAGCATCACGATGCGAGAGAGAGAGAGAACGCCGAGGTCACAGACGGAAAGCGTGTAACAGACGCAGAGCGAGCGATGCGAAGATCCTTAAAATAAAAAAGGGCAAATGTGTCGATACTCACCGCTAAATCTTCCCGCTCTTGCTTTCTTCTCAGCTGTCCCTTCATCAGAGGCGCTGGCCTTCCATCTGTCCAGACACACCAACAAGAAAAAGGGAACGCACACACGAGAAGTTATAAAACGGTCTAGAAGTAGGTCGACATTTCCTCCCAACTATTGCAAGCAGAGGAGAGAAACATAAACTTGTTTTGGCATCAGATAGTTTACCCTGAAGGTGAACTACTACACACACACTGTGTCGTTATGCGAGCTCTGAATTAGGCTTCTGTTGCTTGACAATACCTCCGAACGTCTTCACAGAAACTACAATTGCAACAAAAACAAACAATACCTGCATACGACCAATCAGGCAGATCGGTCAGCGGGCCATATTCTGTGCCGCTCCGGGCAAATCCGTGCCTGCAACAAACACAAACGGTATGAAATCAGAAACCTTTCAGTGTGGTAGTGATGAGGGCGGCAGAAAATAAAGCCCAATGTTCACAAAGAATGACCCATATTACCCACAATTCCTCTCAATCAGCTCATTTTAGTACCGTAGTAGGTTAACTCAGTCATGATGTATGAAACCACTGACACTGGGACCTAGTAGCAGTAGTAGTAGTTGTTGTTGTTTATTAATCAGTTTATTACTGGACTGACCAAATAGGTCAAACCTCTTCAAATTGGACTTTAGAGCTTCTTTTCTTATTTCTTTTACAGCATAGTAATATATTTGAGGTATCTGAGTGATTTTTTGACAAAATAGAAGAAACTATAAAACAGGGCTGCACGATACGTTTAAAAAAACAACATGCTGTCATTATTTTGACAGATATTCTGATTCTGATTAGTAAGAATCAAAGTTTTTGCATCACCATTTTCATTTATGTCCTTAAAAACACTTGAAATCATGTTGGTGTGACCTTTGTTGGGGGTCTGTACCAAACAAACATGTTTTCTTACATCTAGAGAACAAGATTTGTAGATCAGGTAATCTCTACAACACTACAGTACTTCATTACTGTTTGTATCATATTATATATACATATTGTAT